CTTCTGGGAATCAGCGCCTGGGAGCCAAGAGGTAATCAAGAGGGCCGTTGAGAAAAGAACCAAGGCCAATGGCTGACGCGTCACGCAAAACTCCCTCCTTGCCCTAGCTCCATAGCTCTCTTTCATTCTCCTATCCCACCCTCACGGGGCTTGTCTGGCCCATGAGCACAACAGCTCGTAGGAAGGCAAGCCAAACTTGGGTCGCACAGGACGTGTGTGTGCGCGCGTGTGTGTGAGCGGGCGCACGTGCGTGTGTGTTCGTGTGCCTGTGCCTGTGCCTGGGGGTTGGGGTTTCTTTGTGCAAGTGTGAGACGGTGGTGGTGAAGGGATTGGTTGTTGGAGTCTATGCGTTGCGGTGTGTCCAAGGCAGCCGTTTGCGGGTGTATGCCTTTCAAACGCCGCCTATTCGTCCCCTGGACAAGGGACTGGCAGCCCGACGGCGCCCACGTGGCCAGAGACCACAGAGTCGGCAAGCAGAGCAAGGAGGTGCTACTAACTAGTTGGCTGGCAGCTCTAGACACCTGAGCAGAAGCGAGACCCAGACGAGTCGGCCAAACCTCGGCCTCACAGGCAAGCCCCACTGGAGAAAGGAACGGTGAGTGCCAGGGCCCACTGCGATGGCTGGCTACCTGTCTAGGGCTGCCGCCCGTGCTGGGGGCACAAATGCGTGAGAGGGAAAGGCCTTCCCGGCTCCTACACTAGCTGGCTCGTGCAAAAAGTGCCGGACCTCAGTCACCGATGAGCGGAGACGGGAGTGAGTTTTCACTCATTTTGTTCAGCTTTTCCAAGGAATGTTTTTTTGGGGAATCATCATCGATCCAAGCACAGGCTCTGGGCGCCGAGCGGGACCCGGCCCGCGGGGCGCGAGCAGCACTGGCCAGGACGTTTGCCGCAACGCCAAACGGCAAGCCTTGAGCAGCTCCCACCCACACCAAGGACCACCACGGAACCCCCTTGGGCCCAGTAAGGCTCACCTCTCTCTCCCCGGGGCCGCCGATGCACCGTCCACGGCGGGACAGGGAGCAGGCCGGGCGGCTCGCGCCCCTTCAAGGCTACACTGCTCCCTGGGCCTGGCATGCACCCCGAGGTCCCGCTGACCGAAGGCATCCTGGGCAATCAGCGCCTGGGGACCAAGAACAATCAAGAGCGCCCTTGAGGAAAAGGAACAAGGCCAAGAGCTGACCGGTCACGCCAACTCGCAGCTTGCCCCAACTCCACAGCTATCTGTCTTCTGCTCTCCGGTGCCACCCTCCTCAAGGGGTTTCGGCACGACCATGCGCCTGTGACCGCGCTCGGGGTCTACCAAGCCAGAAGAGGGGGCCCGTGGGTGGGGGCAGGCGTGGCTGTGTTGCGTGTGTGTCTGTTCGTGGGTTCGCGTGGGCGTCAGGTTGGTGTGGGCCAGCTACCCTGACCCACTACCCAGTCCTGTGTAGTGTCGCAGGACCGCGCCTTGAAATCTCTGCCCGCCACCTGCACACATCCGTGCAGTGTCTGCCACTCAAAGCCCGTCTCCTTTCACCAGCATCGTCGTACCGCCAACAGGGCCCAAGGGGCGCCCGCGTTAAGCTGCTTCTCCTTCAACCCTCCTGCACGGACTCTGCCAAGCCGTCGGTCGGGGGGGGAGGGGGGAGGACTGGGGACGCCTCTGAGCCGCCTGCTGATGGCAGGCTCCTCGGAGCCCCAATTCACAAGGCCCTGCCCACCACAGAGAAACACAGAGCCTGCCCGATGTCCCCCACGACTCTCAGCCATGACTGCCTTACTGGCCTAGACCCAACCGGCCCAAGGCCTGCCCACTCTGCCTATCCTGGCCGGGCCATGCAAGCATCCACCGGCTTGGCTCCACTGCCACAGTCCCGCTAACGACTGCTAGTGCTTTGGGCAAGGACCTGCACCCACACCTCCATCGCACCCCAACGGCCAACCGCGGGACTCCTCAGCCTCCTCCCCACAGGCCTGCGCAACCTGCGCTGCCGGCCGGGGACACTAACGGCACAAGCGCCCGCCACCATCACACCGCACTCCCTGCCCAAGGCTGTCCCCAGACCGGGAAGAAAACTCAGCGGACAGTCTCTGCCCAGGCCCCGCACTCCGCCTCAAGTCAATCCTGGGCCTGGCCGCACCGCACTCTGCACCCCCGGGGGTGGATTCCCCCAAAGGGCCCGGGCGCTTGAAAACCGCACCCACCCACCCCTCACCCCCCCAATGCACCAAATGCGCCTGCAGGGCACCAGGGAACACAATGACCGCAGGGCCCAAACCAGACCCACTGCAGCTCCTGGCTCGCTCGCCCGCCCGCCAGCCCTCCCGCCCCATGGGGAACTCAGCCCTGGCCACTGCCACCCGCCAAACGCACCCCTGCACTGCGCACTCCTCCCACTCCCCGAACGCCAACAGGGACCCAATCCTCTCCTAGCTAGCTCCACTGTCCGCCCCAAGGCGGGCTCTCCTTCCCCATACCCTCAACGGGGAACCTCTGGGCAGCCAGACTTGGTCTCTGGGAGACCAACACCAAGCCTGCGGGGGTGGGCTAGCCCAAACCTCGGCCACACACACCTCGGGCCACAAAACCTCAACACCACACACGCTTCTACTGAGGGCACGGTCCTGGGGATCCAATCACCAAGCGCACATCTGCCAAACACCTAGGCGCCTCCTCTTCTTCCTAGCCGGGGACACGAGCCACCCACCGGCTGCCCCGTCACAGCCCAGCCGGCCAGAGGCCAGGGATGCCCACCGCGGGCACAGGCTGGGCGTGGCCTCCATCCATCCAACCAGACTGCCCCACAGAGCGAGCGTGCTCCCAACCCACAGCAAGCCCAGGATGGCAGTGTCTGAGTGCCAGGGAGGCGGTCTTCAGCCAGCGCCCCGCAGGTGCAAAGAATGTGTGCGACTGCAACTCGGGCCCCGCTCCTACACTGCCTGACTCTGGACCTCAGTCACGATGAGAACGACGGTTATAGAGTTTTCACTCATTTTGTTCAGCTTCCAAGGAATGTTATTTTGGGGAGTCATCATCGATCCAAGCACACCCGCTGGGCGCCAAGCAGCACACGGCACGCTGGGCGCCAGCAGCTCGGGGCAGGCCAAGCTCCAACCCACACCGAGGACAGTGGGAGCCCCTCGGGCACAGCGAGGCTTACCTCCCTCTCTCCTCGGGGCCGATGCACTGTCCACGGCGAGTCACGACGCAGCAGGCCGGGCGGCTCGCGCCCCTTCAAGGCTACACTGCAATCTGGGCCTGGCTGCCAACCCGAGGCCCCGCTGACCCAAGGTCTTCTGGGAAATCAGCGCCTGGGAGCCAAGAGGAATCAAGAGGGCCGTTGAGAAAAGAACCAAGGCCAATGGCTGACGCGTCACGCAAAACTCCCTCCTTGCCCTAGCTCCATAGCTCTCTTTCATTCTCCTATCCCACCCTCACGGGGCTTGTCTGGCCCATGAGCACAACAGCTCGTAGGAAGGCAAGCCAAACTTGGGTCGCACAGGACGTGTGTGTGCGCGCGTGTGTGTGAGCGGGCGCACGTGCGTGTGTGTTCGTGTGCCTGTGCCTGTGCCTGGGGGTTGGGGTTTCTTTGTGCAAGTGTGAGACGGTGGTGGTGAAGGGATTGGTTGTTGGAGTCTATGCGTTGCGGTGTGTCCAAGGCAGCCGTTTGCGGGTGTATGCCTCTCAAACGCCGCCTATTCGTCCCCTGGACAAGGGACTGGCAGCCCGACGGCGCCCACGTGGCCAGAGACCACAGAGTCGGCAAGCAGAGCAAGGAGGTGCTACTAACTAGTTGGCTGGCAGCTCTAGACACCTGAGCAGAAGCGAGACCCAGACGAGTCGGCCAAACCTCGGCCTCACAGGCAAGCCCCACTGGAGAAAGGAACGGTGAGTGCCAGGGCCCACTGCGATGGCTGGCTACCTGTCTAGGGCTGCCGCCCGTGCTGGGGGCACAAATGCGTGAGAGGGAAAGGCCTTCCCGGCTCCTACACTAGCTGGCTCGTGCAAAAAGTGCCGGACCTCAGTCACCGATGAGCGGAGACGGGAGTGAGTTTTCACTCATTTTGTTCAGCTTTTCCAAGGAATGTTTTTTTGGGGAATCATCATCGATCCAAGCACAGGCTCTGGGCGCCGAGCGGGACCCGGCCCGCGGGGCGCGAGCAGCACTGGCCAGGACGTTTGCCGCAACGCCAAACGGCAAGCCTTGAGCAGCTCCCACCCACACCAAGGACCACCACGGAACCCCCTTGGGCCCAGTAAGGCTCACCTCTCTCTCCCCGGGGCCGCCGATGCACCGTCCACGGCGGGACAGGGAGCAGGCCGGGCGGCTCGCGCCCCTTCAAGGCTACACTGCTCCCTGGGCCTGGCATGCACCCCGAGGTCCCGCTGACCGAAGGCATCCTGGGCAATCAGCGCCTGGGGACCAAGAACAATCAAGAGCGCCCTTGAGGAAAAGGAACAAGGCCAAGAGCTGACCGGTCACGCCAACTCGCAGCTTGCCCCAACTCCACAGCTATCTGTCTTCTGCTCTCCGGTGCCACCCTCCTCAAGGGGTTTCGGCACGACCATGCGCCTGTGACCGCGCTCGGGGTCTACCAAGTCAGAAGATGGGGCCCGTGGGTGGGGGCAGGCGTGGCTGTGTTGCGTGTGTGTCTGTTCGTGGGTGCGCGGGTGTGCGGGTTCGCGTGGGCGTCAGGTTGGTGTGGGCCAGCTACCCTGACCCACTACCCAGTCCTGTGTAGTGTCGCAGGACCGCGCCTTGAAATCTCTGCCCGCCACCTGCACACATCCGTGCAGTGTCTGCCACTCAAAGCCCGTCTCCTTTCACCAGCATCGTCGTACCGCCAACAGGGCCCAAGGGGCGCCCGCGTTAAGCTGCTTCTCCTTCAACCCTCCTGCACGGACTCTGCCAAGCCGTCGGCCCACTGTCGGGGGGGGAGGACTGGGGACGCCTCTGAGCCGCCTGCTGATGGCAGGCTCCTCGGAGCCCCAATTCACAAGGCCCTGCCCACCACAGAGAAACACAGAGCCTGCCCGATGTCCCCCACGACTCTCAGCCATGACTGCCTTACTGGCCTAGACCCAACCGGCCCAAGGCCTGCCCACTCTGCCTATCCTGGCCGGGCCATGCAAGCATCCACCGGCTTGGCTCCACTGCCACAGTCCCGCTAATGACTGCTAGTCCTTTGGACAAGGACCTGCACCCACACCTCCATCGCACCCCAACGGCCAACCGCGGGACTCCTCAGCCTCCTCCCCACAGGCCTGCGCAACCTGCGCTGCTGGCCGGGGACACTAACGGCACAAGCGCCCGCCACCATCACACCGCACTCCCTGCCCAAGGCTGTCCCCAGACCGGGAAGAAAACTCAGCGGACAGTCTCTGCCCAGGCCCCGCACTCCGCCTCAAGTCAATCCTGGGCCTGGCCGCACCGCACTCTGCACCCCCGGGGGTGGATTCCCCCAAAGGGCCCGGGCGCTTGAAAACCGCACCCACCCACCCCTCACCCCCCCAATGCACCAAATGCGCCTGCAGGGCACCAGGGAACACAATGACCGCAGGGCCCAAACCAGACCCACTGCAGCTCCTGGCTCGCTCGCCCGCCCGCCAGCCCTCCCGCCCCATGGGGAACTCAGCCCTGGCCACTGCCACCCGCCAAACGCACCCCTGCACTGCGCACTCCTCCCACTCCCCGAACGCCAACAGGGACCCAATCCTCTCCTAGCTAGCTCCACTGTCCGCCCCAAGGCGGGCTCTCCTTCCCCATACCCTCAACGGGGAACCTCTGGGCAGCCAGACTTGGTCTCTGGGAGACCAACACCAAGCCTGCGGGGGTGGGCTAGCCCAAACCTCGGCCACATACACCTCGGGCCACAAAACCTCAACACCACACACGCTTCTACTGAGGGCACGGTCCTGGGGATCCAATCACCAAGCGCACATCTGCCAAACACCTAGGCGCCTCCTCTTCTTCCTAGCCGGGGACACGAGCCACCCACCGGCTGCCCCGTCACAGCCCAGCCGGCCAGAGGCCAGGGATGCCCACCGCGGGCACAGGCTGGGCGTGGCCTCCATCCATCCAACCAGACTGCCCCACAGAGCGAGCGTGCTCCCAACCCACAGCAAGCCCAGGATGGCAGTGTCTGAGTGCCAGGGAGGCGGTCTTCAGCCAGCGCCCCGCAGGTGCAAAGAATGTGTGCGACTGCAACTCGGGCCCCGCTCCTACACTGCCTGACTCTGGACCTCAGTCACGATGAGAACGACGGTTATAGAGTTTTCACTCATTTTGTTCAGCTTCCAAGGAATGTTATTTTGGGGAGTCATCATCGATCCAAGCACACCCGCTGGGCGCCAAGCAGCACACGGCACGCTGGGCGCCAGCAGCTCGGGGCAGGCCAAGCTCCAACCCACACCGAGGACAGTGGGACCCCCTCAGGCACAGCGAGGCTTACCTCCCTCTCTCCTCGGGGCCGATGCACTGTCCACGGCGAGTCACGACGCAGCAGGCCGGGCGGCTCGCGCCCCTTCAAGGCTACACTGCTCTCTGGGCCTGGCTGCCAACCCGAGGCCCCGCTGACCCAAGGTCTTCTGGGAAATCAGCGCCTGGGAGCCAAGAGGAATCAAGAGGGCCGTTGAGAAAAGAACCAAGGCCAATGGCTGACGCGTCACGCAAAACTCCCTCCTTGCCCTAGCTCCATAGCTCTCTTTCATTCTCCTATCCCACCCTCACGGGGCTTGTCTGGCCCATGAGCACAACAGCTCGTAGGAAGGCAAGCCAAACTTGGGTCGCACAGGACGTGTGTGTGCGCGCGTGTGTGTGAGCGGGCGCACGTGCGTGTGTGTTCGTGTGCCTGTGCCTGTGCCTGGGGGTTGGGGTTTCTTTGTGCAAGTGTGAGACGGTGGTGGTGAAGGGATTGGTTGTTGGAGTCTATGCGTTGCGGTGTGTCCAAGGCAGCCGTTTGCGGGTGTATGCCTTTCAAACGCCGCCTATTCGTCCCCTGGACAAGGGACTGGCAGCCCGACGGCGCCCACGTGGCCAGAGACCACAGAGTCGGCAAGCAGAGCAAGGAGGTGCCACTAACTAGTTGGCTGGCAGCTCTAGACACCTGAGCAGAACCAGACGAGTCGGCCAAACCTCGGCCTCACAGGCAAGCCCCACTGGGAACGGTGAGTGCCAGGGCCCACTGCGATGGCTGGCTACCTGTCTAGGGCTGCCGCCCGTGCTGGGGGCACAAATGCGTGAGAGGGAAAGGGAAAGGCCTTCCCGGCTCCTGGCTCGTGCAAAAAGTGCCGGACCTCAGTCACCGATGAGCGGAGACGGGAGTGAGTTTTCACTCATTTTGTTCAGCTTTTCCAAGGAATGTTTTTTTGGGGAATCATCATCGATCCAAGCACAGGCTCTGGGCGCCGAGCGGGACCCGGCCCGCGGGGCGCGAGCAGCACTGGCCAGGACGTTTGCCGCAACGCCAAACGGCAAGCCTTGAGCAGCTCCCACCCACACCAAGGACCACCACGGAACCCCCTTGGGCCCAGTAAGGCTCACCTCTCTCTCCCCGGGGCCGCCGATGCACCGTCCACGGCGGGACAGGGAGCAGGCCGGGCGGCTCGCGCCCCTTCAAGGCTACACTGCTCCCTGGGCCTGGCATGCACCCCGAGGTCCCGCTGACCGAAGGCATCCTGGGCAATCAGCGCCTGGGGACCAAGAACAATCAAGAGCGCCCTTGAGGAAAAGGAACAAGGCCAAGAGCTGACCGGTCACGCCAACTCGCAGCTTGCCCCAACTCCACAGCTATCTGTCTTCTGCTCTCCGGTGCCACCCTCCTCAAGGGGTTTCGGCACGACCATGCGCCTGTGACCGCGCTCGGGGTCTACCAAGCCAGAAGAGGGGGCCCGTGGGTGGGGGCAGGCGTGGCTGTGTTGCGTGTGTGTCTGTTCGTGGGTGCGCGGGTGTGCGGGTTCGCGTGGGCGTCAGGTTGGTGTGGGCCAGCTACCCTGACCCACTACCCAGTCCTGTGTAGTGTCGCAGGACCGCGCCTTGAAATCTCTGCCCGCCACCTGCACACATCCGTGCAGTGTCTGCCACTCAAAGCCCGTCTCCTTTCACCAGCATCGTCGTACCGCCAACAGGGCCCAAGGGGCGCCCGCGTTAAGCTGCTTCTTCAACCCTCCTGCACGGACTCTGCCAAGCCGTCGGCCCACTGTCCGGGGGGGGGGGGAGGACTGGGGACGCCTCTGAGCCGCCTGCTGATGGCAGGCTCCTCGGAGCCCCAATTCACAAGGCCCTGCCCACCACAGAGAAACACAGAGCCTGCCCGATGTCCCCCACGACTCTCAGCCATGACTGCCTTACTGGCCTAGACCCAACCGGCCCAAGGCCTGCCCACTCTGCCTATCCTGGCCGGGCCATGCAAGCATCCACCGGCTTGGCTCCACTGCCACAGTCCCGCTAACGGACTGCTAGTGCTTTGGGCAAGGACCTGCACCCACACCTCCATCGCACCCCAACGGCCAACCGCGGGACTCCTCAGCCTCCTCCCCACAGGCCTGCGCAACCTGCGCTGCCGGCCGGGGACACTAACGGCACAAGCGCCCGCCACCATCACACCGCACTCCCTGCCCAAGGCTGTCCCCAGACCGGGAAGAAAACTCAGCGGACAGTCTCTGCCCAGGCCCCGCACTCCGCCTCAAGTCAATCCTGGGCCTGGCCGCACCGCACTCTGCACCCCCGGGGGTGGATTCCCCCAAAGGGCCCGGGCGCTTGAAAACCGCACCCACCCACCCCTCACCCCCCCAATGCACCAAATGCGCCTGCAGGGCACCAGGGAACACAATGACCGCAGGGCCCAAACCAGACCCACTGCAGCTCCTGGCTCGCTCGCCCGCCCGCCAGCCCTCCCGCCCCATGGGGAACTCAGCCCTGGCCACTGCCACCCGCCAAACGCACCCCTGCACTGCGCACTCCTCCCACTCCCCGAACGCCAACAGGGACCCAATCCTCTCCTAGCTAGCTCCACTGTCCGCCCCAAGGCGGGCTCTCCTTCCCCATACCCTCAACGGGGAACCTCTGGGCAGCCAGACTTGGTCTCTGGGAGACCAACACCAAGCCTGTGGGGGTGGGCTAGCCCAAACCTCGGCCACACACACCTCGGGCCACAAAACCTCAACACCACACACGCTTCTACTGAGGGCACGGTCCTGGGGATCCAATCACCAAGCGCACATCTGCCAAACACCTAGGCGCCTCCTCTTCTTCCTAGCCGGGGACACGAGCCACCCACCGGCTGCCCCGTCACAGCCCAGCCGGCCAGAGGCCAGGGATGCCCACCGCGGGCACAGGCTGGGCGTGGCCTCCATCCATCCAACCAGACTGCCCCACAGAGCGAGCGTGCTCCCAACCCACAGCAAGCCCAGGATGGCAGTGTCTGAGTGCCAGGGAGGCGGTCTTCAGCCAGCGCCCCGCAGGTGCAAAGAATGTGTGCGACTGCAACTCGGGCCCCGCTCCTACACTGCCTGACTCTGGACCTCAGTCACGATGAGAACGACGGTTATAGAGTTTTCACTCATTTTGTTCAGCTTCCAAGGAATGTTATTTTGGGGAGTCATCATCGATCCAAGCACACCCGCTGGGCGCCAAGCAGCACACGGCACGCTGGGCGCCAGCAGCTCGGGGCAGGCCAAGCTCCAACCCACACCGAGGACAGTGGGACCCCCTCGGGCACAGCGAGGCTTACCTCCCTCTCTCCTCGGGGCCGATGCACTGTCCACGGCGAGTCACGACGCAGCAGGCCGGGCGGCTCGCGCCCCTTCAAGGCTACACTGCAATCTGGGCCTGGCTGCCAACCCGAGGCCCCGCTGACCCAAGGTCTTCTGGGAAATCAGCGCCTGGGAGCCAAGAGGAATCAAGAGGGCCGTTGAGAAAAGAACCAAGGCCAATGGCTGACGCGTCACGCAAAACTCCCTCCTTGCCCTAGCTCCATAGCTCTCTTTCATTCTCCTATCCCACCCTCACGGGGCTTGTCTGGCCCATGAGCACAACAGCTCGTAGGAAGGCAAGCCAAACTTGGGTCGCACAGGACGTGTGTGTGCGCGCGTGTGTGTGAGCGGGCGCACGTGCGTGTGTGTTCGTGTGCCTGTGCCTGTGCCTGGGGGTTGGGGTTTCTTTGTGCAAGTGTGAGACGGTGGTGGTGAAGGGATTGGTTGTTGGAGTCTATGCGTTGCGGTGTGTCCAAGGCAGCCGTTTGCGGGTGTATGCCTCTCAAACGCCGCCTATTCGTCCCCTGGACAAGGGACTGGCAGCCCGACGGCGCCCACGTGGCCAGAGACCACAGAGTCGGCAAGCAGAGCAAGGAGGTGCTACTAACTAGTTGGCTGGCAGCTCTAGACACCTGAGCAGAAGCGAGACCCAGACGAGTCGGCCAAACCTCGGCCTCACAGGCAAGCCCCACTGGAGAAAGGAACGGTGAGTGCCAGGGCCCACTGCGATGGCTGGCTACCTGTCTAGGGCTGCCGCCCGTGCTGGGGGCACAAATGCGTGAGAGGGAAAGGCCTTCCCGGCTCCTACACTAGCTGGCTCATGCAAAAAGTGCCGGACCTCAGTCACCGATGAGCGGAGACGGGAGTGAGTTTTCACTCATTTTGTTCAGCTTTTCCAAGGAATGTTTTTTTTGGGAATCATCATCGATCCAAGCACAGGCTCTGGGCGCCGAGCGGGACCCGGCCCGCGGGGCGCGAGCAGCACTGGCCAGGACGTTTGCCGCAACGCCAAACGGCAAGCCTTGAGCAGCGCCCACCCACACCAAGGACCACCACGGAACCCCCTTGGGCCCAGTAAGGCTCACCTCTCTCTCCCCAGGGCCGCCGATGCACCGTCCACGGCGGGACAGGGAGCAGGCCGGGCGGCTCGCGCCCCTTCAAGGCTACACTGCTCCCTGGGCCTGGCATGCACCCCGAGGTCCCGCTGACCGAAGGCATCCTGGGCAATCAGCGCCTGGGGACCAAGAACAATCAAGAGCGCCCTTGAGGAAAAGGAACAAGGCCAAGAGCTGACCGGTCACGCCAACTCGCAGCTTGCCCCAACTCCACAGCTATCTGTCTTCTGCTCTCCGGTGCCACCCTCCTCAAGGGGTTTCGGCACGACCATGCGCCTGTGACCGCGCTCGGGGTCTACCAAGCCAGAAGAGGGGGCCCGTGGGTGGGGGCAGGCGTGGCTGTGTTGCGTGTGTGTCTGTTCGTGGGTGCGCGGGTGTGCGGGTTCGCGTGGGCGTCAGGTTGGTGTGGGCCAGCTACCCTGACCCACTACCCAGTCCTGTGTAGTGTCGCAGGACCGCGCCTTGAAATCTCTGCCCGCCACCTGCACACATCCGTGCAGTGTCTGCCACTCAAAGCCCGTCTCCTTTCACCAGCATCGTCGTACCGCCAACAGGGCCCAAGGGGCGCCCGCGTTAAGCTGCTTCTCCTTCAACCCTCCTGCACGGACTCTGCCAAGCTGTCGGCCCACTGTCCGGGGGGGGGGGAGGACTGGGGACGCCTCTGAGCCGCCTGCTGATGGCAGGCTCCTCGGAGCCCCAATTCACAAGGCCCTGCCCACCACAGAGAAACACAGAGCCTGCCCGATGTCCCCCACGACTCTCAGCCATGACTGCCTTACTGGCCTAGACCCAACCGGCCCAAGGCCTGCCCACTCTGCCTATCCTGGCCGGGCCATGCAAGCATCCACCGGCTTGGCTCCACTGCCACAGTCCCGCTAACGGACTGCTAGTGCTTTGGGCAAGGACCTGCACCCACACCTCCATCGCACCCCAACGGCCAACCGCGGGACTCCTCAGCCTCCTCCCCACAGGCCTGCGCAACCTGCGCTGCCGGCCGGGGACACTAACGGCACAAGCGCCCGCCACCATCACACCGCACTCCCTGCCCAAGGCTGTCCCCAGACCGGGAAGAAAACTCAGCGGACAGTCTCTGCCCAGGCCCCGCACTCCGCCTCAAGTCAATCCTGGGCCTGGCCGCACCGCACTCTGCACCCCCGGGGGTGGATTCCCCCAAAGGGCCCGGGCGCTTGAAAACCGCACCCACCCACCCCTCACCCCCCCAATGCACCAAATGCGCCTGCAGGGCACCAGGGAACACAATGACCGCAGGGCCCAAACCAGACCCACTGCAGCTCCTGGCTCGCTCGCCCGCCCGCCAGCCCTCCCGCCCCATGGGGAACTCAGCCCTGGCCACTGCCACCCGCCAAACGCACCCCTGCACTGTGCACTCCTCCCACTCCCCGAACGCCAACAGGGACCCAATCCTCTCCTAGCTAGCTTCCACTGTCCGCCCCAAGGCGGGCTCTCCTTCCCCATACCCTCAACGGGGAACCTCTGGGCAGCCAGACTTGGTCTCTGGGAGACCAACACCAAGCCTGCGGGGGTGGGCTAGCCCAAACCTCGGCCACACACACCTCGGGCCACAAAACCTCAACACCACACACGCTTCTACTGAGGGCACGGTCCTGGGGATCCAATCACCAAGCGCACATCTGCCAAACACCTAGGCGCCTCCTCTTCTTCCTAGCCGGGGACACGAGCCACCCACCGGCTGCCCCGTCACAGCCCAGCCGGCCAGAGGCCAGGGATGCCCACCGCGGGCACAGGCTGGGCGTGGCCTCCATCCATCCAACCAGACTGCCCCACAGAGCGAGCGTGCTCCCAACCCACAGCAAGCCCAGGATGGCAGTGTCTGAGTGCCAGGGAGGCGGTCTTCAGCCAGCGCCCCGCAGGTGCAAAGAATGTGTGCGACTGCAACTCGGGCCCCGCTCCTACACTGCCTGACTCTGGACCTCAGTCACGATGAGAACGACGGTTATAGAGTTTTCACTCATTTTGTTCAGCTTCCAAGGAATGTTATTTTGGGGAGTCATCATCGATCCAAGCACACCCGCTGGGCGCCAAGCAGCACACGGCACGCTGGGCGCCAGCAGCTCGGGGCAGGCCAAGCTCCAACCCACACCGAGGACAGTGGGACCCCCTCGGGCACTCAGCGAGGCTTACCTCCCTCTCTCCTCGGGGCCGATGCGCTGTCCACGGCGAGTCACGACGCAGCAGGCCGGGCGGCTCGCGCCCCTTCAAGGCTACACTGCTCTCTGGGCCTGGCTGCCAACCCGAGGCCCCGCTGACCCAAGGTCTTCTGGGAAATCAGCGCCTGGGAGCCAAGAGGAATCAAGAGGGCCGTTGAGAAAAGAACCAAGGCCAATGGCTGACGCGTCACGCAAAACTCCCTCCTTGCCCTAGCTCCATAGCTCTCTTTCATTCTCCTATCCCACCCTCACGGGGCTTGTCTGGCCCATGAGCACAACAGCTCGTAGGAAGGCAAGCCAAACTTGGGTCGCACAGGACGTGTGTGTGCGCGCGTGTGTGTGAGCGGGCGCACGTGCGTGTGTGTTCGTGTGCCTGTGCCTGTGCCTGGGGGTTGGGGTTTCTTTGTGCAAGTGTGAGACGGTGGTGGTGAAGGGATTGGTTGTTGGAGTCTATGCGTTGCGGTGTGTCCAAGGCAGCCGTTTGCGGGTGTATGCCTCTCAAACGCCGCCTATTCGTCCCCTGGACAAGGGACTGGCAGCCCGACGGCGCCCACGTGGCCAGAGACCACAGAGTCGGCAAGCAGAGCAAGGAGGTGCTACTAACTAGTTGGCTGGCAGCTCTAGACACCTGAGCAGAAGCGAGACCCAGACGAGTCGGCCAAACCTCGGCCTCACAGGCAAGCCCCACTGGAGAAAGGAACGGTGAGTGCCAGGGCCCACTGCGATGGCTGGCTACCTGTCTAGGGCTGCCGCCCGTGCTGGGGGCACAAATGCGTGAGAGGGAAAGGCCTTCCCGGCTCCTACACTAGCTGGCTCGTGCAAAAAGTGCCGGACCTCAGTCACCGATGAGCGGAGACGGGAGTGAGTTTTCACTCATTTTGTTCAGCTTTTCCAAGGAATGTTTTTTTGGGGAATCATCATCGATCCAAGCACAGGCTCTGGGCGCCGAGCGGGACCCGGCCCGCGGGGCGCGAGCAGCACTGGCCAGGACGTTTGCCGCAACGCCAAACGGCAAGCCTTGAGCAGCTCCCACCCACACCAAGGACCACCACGGAACCCCCTTGGGCCCAGTAAGGCTCACCTCTCTTTCCCAGGGGCCGCCGATGCACCGTCCACGGCGGGACAGGGAGCAGGCCGGGCGGCTCGCACCCCTTCAAGGCTACACTGCTCCCTGGGCCTGGCATGCACCCCGAGGTCCCGCTGACCGAAGGCATCCTGGGCAATCAGCGCCTGGGGACCAAGAACAATCAAGAGCGCCCTTGAGGAAAAGGAACAAGGCCAAGAGCTGACCGGTCACGCCAACTCGCAGCTTGCCCCAACTCCACAGCTATCTGTCTTCTGCTCTCCGGTGCCACCCTCCTCAAGGGGTTTCGGCACGACCATGCGCCTGTGACCGCGCTCGGGGTCTACCAAGTCAGAAGATGGGGCCCGTGGGTGGGGGCAGGCGTGGCTGTGTTGCGTGTGTGTCTGTTCGTGGGTGCGCGGGTGTGCGGGTTCGCGTGGGCGTCAGGTTGGTGTGGGCCAGCTACCCTGACCCACTACCCAGTCCTGTGTAGTGTCGCAGGACCGCGCCTTGAAATCTCTGCCCGCCACCTGCACACATCCGTGCAGTGTCTGCCACTCAAAGCCCGTCTCCTTTCACCAGCATCGTCGTACCGCCAACAGGGCCCAAGGGGCGCCCGCGTTAAGCTGCTTCTCCTTCAACCCTCCTGCACGGACTCTGCCAAGGTGTCGGCCCACTGTCGGGGGGGGGAGGACTGGGGACGCCTCTGAGCCGCCTGCTGATGGCAGGCTCCTCGGAGCCCCAATTCACAAGG